TGTGAAGCCCAGAACTACCTGATGCTTCATTATGTAGCCAGGAAATGTTCTGGAAACACTCCTCAAAGATTTTGCTCCATATTAACATGACAGCATCACAAATGTGGCCCAGACCTGTTGGCTGTACTTCCTGTTCCACCACATCCCAAAGCTTCTCCATTCAATTGAGATTTGGAGACTGTAGAGGTCATTTGATGAACGTTGCCTTCCTATTAGCTTAAAGCATTACCCTCTGACATCAACGAGACATTTCCACTCAGAGAACTGCTGCCCACTGGTTTCTTTCTGATATACTCAGAATCTAGCACCAACAACCACACCATATTTAAAGTTGCCTAAGTCATCTTTTTTCCCCTCATTCTGATACTCAGTGTAACCTTGTTGCCTAGATGCTAAAATGCATTGTGTTGCTGCCATGAAATGGGTGGGTTTATATAGATACAAAATTAAATAGCTGGTGAATGAATGTTGACAGATTGAGCCTGAAAGACAAATTCATGTTGCACAAACTTGTGAAATGCAAAAAGAAAACAACCTTGAGCACAGTACTAAACTTTGTGCTGGGACCAGCTCCCATCGCCTGTGATGATCATCTGTCAGATGATTTCTCTGCACACGTTAGAGGACCATGCTGAAATTAGCAGTGCATTGGACTGCAAGTGATCTAAGTGTAGTAAGAGAGCTAAACGGGGTCCAGCGTTACAGAAGGAGATGACCTTGAAAAAGAAATTTGCTTGTTATGGTTACTCACAGTGTACTGCCTCTTTTTCCAACCCCCACATTTTCAGAGGCTTTAAGGCTTTTAAACAGTGAGCGGTTAACGAACGACTAGAAATCCAGCTTCACTATGAGTTACACGTACATTTGTGCAGGCCAACCGACGCTTCATTAAGCATTTCTTTTTCTCACAGCACAAAAGAAAAGACGTGACAAAGCACACAAAGAAATGTGATCCTAAGCTGACGTGAGATTGCTGTGCTCCACCGCATGAATCAATATCCTTCGCATTACGGCACAGGCCTATACGAAGAGGAAATACAGCCTCTATAGACTAAAGCAAATAATCTGGAAATATAAGAGGTGTGTTACTGCTTAGTTTATGACGGTGGAGTTTATGCCTTTATGTGTTTATGTTTCTCCTGCTCCCCTCTGCTGAGAAGCAAGTGTGTGTGTTTGTGTGTATGAAGAGGTGGCTGGAGTGAGCTCCACGGGGAGGTGAGTAAGGAAGCTGGAGGTCAGGGTGTACAAGAAGAATCTGCTCTGTTCAAAGTCTTCTCCAGAGGGCAAACAAAGAAATGGAGAATTTGATCGGTATTTCTGACAGAGTGTGTGTGTGTGTGTGTGTGTGTGCTGGAGAAAGTAAAGAGCGAGCCTGAAAAGAAAGATTATGTGTTTATTTGTTTACACTGCCTCCAAGGTCCTGTGCTGTCTTTGACCATCACTCCTTTCTCACTCTCTCTGCTTAACTCTTACTCCTGCCTTCAACTCGCCCTCCCTCCGTCCAAACCCCTCTAACGGCTCTCTTCCTCCACTCAGCCGCTCCACCCCTTCTTTAAAGTTTGTGTCTATTGATTCCATTGAACTTTAACAACAACCGCTACGTTAGGCCAAACCCTTCAGCTATTTCTGGATCTTCAAAAGACGCCCTGGGCTATTCGCGCACGCTCCTTAAAACCTCGCCTAAACCACTTCACTTCCAGCCCGTCGCTCGCTTCACGATGAGTGTTACAAGCGCTGCTAACAAGTAAATGTCGAGCACAGAGACCCTTAAAACTCGACTTTCTTTATAAGACTGCGTGCGGCGAGGTGGCATGCCGCTACTCTCTGTGATGAGCAGGGATATCCATCGTACCTTTTGCAGTTCAAATGGCACTGAATGAGCGAGTGCGTAATGGGATTTCCAGTCAGACAATCAATATCCGAGCTGCCCTGCAATGAGATCAGTGTCTATGAGAACGTCAACACAGGTCAATAATATAGTATGGATTTTACCTCATCAAACTATAATTCTGCTTACTGGAGCCATCTGTCTCTGTGGGCTTGATCTATCACTACTCTTCTTCTCGCTGCTTTTTTTGTTGTGCTATATTTTAAACAGGGTTTTAAGGTCAGTACCAATATGCAGCAGACAACGTCTCTACACATTCACAGGTGCAATGAGTTCTTTTTGTTTTTTCCTCTGGTTCCTGGAGTTAAATGACTACATGTACCGGAAAATGATAGGGTTGAACATTAATAATGGATTCCTTGCAGGCGCTGAATTTCCAGGCACTGTTTGGGAAGCCAAACTGCCCCTCAGCTGTAGTAATACAAATCTTCCCACACTGACTACATCCATGCATAAAAAAATGTAAGTAAATTGGCCCCCAAAGTTATTCTTATTACTTATTGAATGTAATTCATTTAGCTCACAGGGCAGTAAAGCCCTGCGTGGAAAGTTAATAAAACACTTAATCCAAGGCCAGTATCTGTCCAATGTCTTAGCTTAGTTTTCTGTATAGTTCGCTTTCTCAAAGTAACTGTGCTCAGCGAGTCTTTGTATCTTTTGCACTCTCCACTGCTGTTGTTATTGATCCAAATGTGTCCTTTCTTTAATCCTCCACCTCCTGTTGTAAAAAAAAAAATGTGCCAGTGGTGTCGTAGAGGTGCAGTCGTATCTCAGCTGCGCTCTGATAAAGATGCGGCTATGAATAGACCCTCACACTGGGACATTTTGGAGCACGGGGTACAAACAGACAGAGAAACTACAGCGAATGTTTGCGGTGGAGACGTAAGAATTAAAAATAGTTTTTTTTTCTTGCTTCATTCAGTACTTTTAATTCTGTGCACATTCTAGCGAGTTTTCCAACACATCAGCATGCACCTTGGATCGCTGAACTCTGTTCTTGTTGGGTTGAAGTGTTCACTTTCATCGAGTGTGGAATTTCAGATCATCCGAAGCAGCTTGGGGGGTGTTCAGAGTCACGTACCGTTAAAATATAAATGCAATCAGTGTTTTGTCCACAAACAGTCGGCGCAGACATTAACCGTGAGAATGCACTGCAGATAAACAGGCTGCTAATGATGCGCACTGATAGACAGACACACCTCGTTCTCTACTTATTGCATTCAGAAGAGTTTCGGAAAGCTTGACCTCTGACATGGAGGTCAACATCACTGGAATACAAGGTCTAGATTTTCAGCAGATATAATTATGGTTAGGTGTCTGCCCAGCAGGGTGACGACAATACCCCATCACCTTTTTATGGCTGAGAGGTAAGAACAATCAAACTAATCCAAATTTGAAAAGATAGTAATCCGATCTTTAAGTGATGACGTGATGAATCCTGCTTCCGGGCCCAAACTACTCTGCGTTTAATAAGGATGTTGTGTTTTTAACATGTTTTATTGCTTTGCATCTTGTTCTATTTAATCTACAAGCTCCTAAAAACAGTCAGTGATCACTGTCGGCCTCTCTCGGTTTTTATTACCACTGTTTATTTTAAAGCTCAGCTTTTAAAACCTTACAATGTGACTACAGCCCAGCCCATGCAGCAGTATGTTAATGACTAACCTCGTATTGTGGATGGATTATCTCAGTTGTTCTCCTGTCTGAAGTTTGGTCCGTTTACAGCAGTGGTCCCCAACCCCCGGGCCTCGGACCGGTACCGGTTAACTTTTATCGAGTGGAATAAAGTTGGCGTTCAACCTCCAGCTTCACTGTGTTTATGCTATGCTAACAAAGCTATGTCGGTAGCGATCACGTAGCACATCATTATATAGCAGCTAGCCCAACTTCAGTAACCCTACAAACATCACTGCTGTTTAGTTTCTGTCTTCATTTATGTTGGAAGTGATAGCAGAGCTGTACCTATTAATTTGTTTCAGAAATCTCTCAGTCAGAACATGCTACATCATGCTTAGGTAGAAGCTAGCGAGCTAACTTCCTGCTAACTTCTAACTCTGTTAAATTTAAATTTAATAAATTGTGTTTTCGTGGATGCCTGGATGTTAAACTTAATTGTTACACCTGGTAAAGCAGCAACGCTGATCATTTTGTTACAGATGAAAAAATTTAGACAGTTTTTCAACTCTGCGACAAAGTTTGGGCCCAGACACGGCTAATGACATCTGACTTATTAAAGACCAGGTGAAAATTAACGACAGTAAATATTTGAAGTTAAAAGACTGAGACCAACAGTAAAATCTGTCCATTCCTAAAGCTTTTGCTCTCTCTCTCTGATGGGTTTACTTTGGTTTTCGAGCCTAAACATGTTCTCCTTCACTTGCATCCAGTGTTGCCAACTTAGCGACTTTGTCGCTATATTTAGCAA